TGCTGGAGGTGCTGCTGGAGATGCTGCTGGAGCGGGTGCTCCTACTGGGGGTACTGGTGCTGTCCTTGCTGTTTCAGGCGTCGCCACGCGACCCCGCCCGTACTTCGTTCCGCTCCTGCAGCAGGTTCTTGGTCTTACACCTTCTCCTCCTCCTCCTCCTTCTCCCTTAGAGGGTCCACAGCCTGTCCAGTCCCAGTCACAGCTACAGCCTGCCTCCCCTTTGCCTGCTCCTTCTCCCTACGCTGGTCCGACTGGAGGTCTTATCGAGCGTCGTGAGCCTGCGTCTCGTCCTGCGTCGCCTGTTCGTTCTGCACGCACTAGTGGTCGCGGTTCGCGTCAGCGTCCTCCTCCTGTCCCTGGCACGCACCAGATGTCTCTGCGTACGTCCACTGCTCCTCTGCGTGCCCCTTTGCCTTCTCCTCCTTCTTCCTCTCTTCCTGCTCTTGCCGACCCGGAGTCGGACTCTCTTCGTGCTGCCAGTCCTTCTGTCACGCGTCTCCTTGCTACTGCTGTCACTTACCCTTCTTTCGAGTCTTCTGCTGCGTCTGCCCTTGTTACTGAGCTCGTCGACTTTGCTGCGCGCTGTCGTCTAGACTACGCTGCTAGTCTTGTCGCTGAGTCTGAGTCTGCCTGTCCTCCGACCGTCGGGGGTGAGTGTGCCCTTGGCACGGACGTCCTTGAGGATAGGCAGGAGGAGTTCCAGTGTCTGGCCGCCGCTTCACCTCATCTTGCGTCTGTACTGCTCGCCCCTGAGGGAGACCCGGATGCACTTGACATCCCGACTCCGCGCTCTTACGCGGAGGCGATAGAGGGTCCCTACTCCTCTCAGTGGCAGGCAGCTATGGATGCAGAGATGGCTTCCTGGAAGTCCACAGGCACCTACGTTGACGCTGTTCCCCCTCCTGGGGCGAACATAGTCAGTGGCATGTGGATCTTCAGGGTGAAGCGGCCGCCGGGTTCTCCGCCTGTCTTCAAGGCGCGTTACGTGGCTCGTGGCTTCAGTCAGCGGCAGGGAGTTGACTACTTTCAGACCTTCTCCCCCACCCCGAAGATGACCACTCTTCGGGTTCTGCTGCACGTTGCTGCTCACCGTGACTACGAGCTCCACTCTCTCGACTTCAGCACTGCTTTCTTGCAGGGCAGCCTGCACAAGGAGATCTGGCTGCGTCGCCCACCTAGCTTCACTGGGTCTTTCCCTCCTGGTACCCAGTGGAGTCTCCGGCGTCCAGTCTACGGTCTCCGCCAGGCGCCACGTGAGTGGCACGACACACTGAGGACGACGTTAGCGGCACTTGGGTTTGCTCCTTCTACTGCCGACCCGTCGCTGTTTCTGCGCACCGACACCTCTCTGCCGCCGTTCTACATCCTCGTGTACGTCGACGACTTGGTCTTTGCCACAGCTGACACTGCTGGACTCGCCTACGTGAAGTCCGAGCTGCACAAGAGACACACGTGCACTGACCTGGGTGAACTGCGCAGCTACCTTGGCTTGCAAATCACCCGGGACAGAGCACGCTGCACCATTACCCTGACTCAGTCACACATGGTGCAGCAGGTCCTTCAGCGCTTCGGCTTCACGTACTCCTCGCCTCAGGCCACTCCTCTGCCTACTCGCCACTCGCTCTCAGCTCTGCCTTCGGATGAGTCCGTAGAGTCGAGTGGTCCGTATGCAGAGCTTGTTGGCTGCCTCATGTACCTGATGACCTGCACACGACCTGACCTTGCATACCCTCTTAGCATTCTCGCACGCTATGTTGCTCCTGGGAGACACAAACCAGAGCACATGGCTGCAGCGAAGAGGGTGTTGCGCTACTTGTGCAGTACGTCGGGCATGGGGCTAGTGCTTGGAGGGCGCAGTCCAGTGGTCCTCACTGGGCACGCGGATGCTTCTTGCGCTGACGACCAGGCTACGCAGCGGTCGTCAGAGGGTTACACCTTCAGCCTTGGTTCCGGCTTTGTTTCGTGGCGGGCTACCCGCTCGTCTTCTGTTCTCGGCTCCAGTTGTGAGGCTGAGATCTACGCCGGGGCTATGGCTGCTCAGGAGCTTCGCTGGCTCACCTACCTGCTGACCGACCTTGGAGAGCCGCCTCGTTCTCCTCCAGTCCTGTACGTAGACAACAAGGCCATGCTGGCCTTGTGTCGAGAGCAGCGACTGGAGCACAGGACAAAGCACATTGCTCTCCGCTACTTTCTTGCTCGTGAGCTACAGCAGCGTGGACAGTTGCGACTTGCGCACGTGGCCTCTGTGGCCAACACTGCTGATGTCTTCACCAAGGCACTTGCGCCTTGTGATCATCATCGTTGCTGCACGCAGCTGGGTCTTGTGCCTGTCTTGCCTCACTTGCTCACTTCTTGACCTTTCTTGTACCTTGACCTATATATACTCTTGTTCTTGCTTGCTTGACTCTTGTATATCTCTATATATGATCTTGCATGTGAACTGGCCTTGTGGCCCTTAAACTTGTGCTCGGAATGTGTGGTGACTTTGTGATCCACCCTGAGCTTTGCTTTGCTTTGCTTGACTTGTCTTGTGACCCCTTGTTCTCCCCCACTTTGCCTATGGGGGTGTGTCAGAATATTATAGCTTACTTATTTGTGTAGGCTATAGTGGGGTATCCCATAGGGGGTACAACCCAACTAGGGTTTGCTATTTGTACTCACTTCATTCATAGTTCATTCATTCTCTCGTTTACTTCTTCTCACTTGGGCTGATACACACCTGTCAGATGTCGCCAGGCGTTGAGGGCTGGAGCAGCTGTCGATTTGTACGAACGAATGTTGAGCTGCTCCGCCGCCGACATATTCCGCATGAGCACTCTGTACGCCATCAGCGATTCGTTGTAATACCTCGCCTTGGCGTCGTCGGTGTCCTCAGCAAGCTCCGCGTAGCTCCCGTCGAAGTAATGGAAGATTTGGGCGTTCTGCAGTAAGAGCTCCAATTCGAAGCTCCAGGTATAAAAATCTCTGCCGTCAAAACAGGTACTTGTCTTATTTTTTATATGCTGAGAAACCTTGATTGAGCGGAGAGAATTGCTTCTTCACTGGGACGGGGAGTCTTGGGGGTTGAGCCATTGGTGTCGAGGGAGAATGTTTGCGGGGCGGAGTTCTGGCTAGTCGGGGCCGGTTGGGAGGGTTGCGAGGATGTTCCCGCATCGCCATTCTGCAATGTTTGGAGCCCTTGCTCCAATTTAGTGAGTCGCTGAAGAAGTTGTGCGAAGACGGCGGAAGGAATCGTCGTCGTTTCCTCGCTTGTCGTAGCCGGATTGGGCTGCGCTTCAGCCGTTAGATTTGTCTGACCACCAGATCCTCCGGCCATTCTTACGCGCGAACGTGTGCCGGACGCCACTTTCCGAATGTCGTAATTTTCGGGAGTGGCAGTGCGAAGGATTGCCAAGTCGCTCTCATACCATGCTGCGATCAGAAGTTGATCGTAGCCCAGGATCTGCTCAGGAAGGTTCGCTTGAAGAGAGGTAGTGTTGGTGGGCCCTTGATCTCAAATAGCTGAGTGAATGTAAAATGCTTGAGATGATTAAAACATGCAGGTACAGGAAATATAAATATGAGTACAGAGAAGACGAAACGACCTAGCTAGCCATGTACTCGAAGGGGTACATTCCCTTATTCAAATATATTCTTAACTGTGCGGCTCGTACAGTTTCGTAACTGTTCCCGCCAAAACCATCCTGCCTACAGCTGCCTGGTGCTGTCTCCTCTGACGGTCGAGATGTCCTGTAACCGTCCGACGCTTCGATTCAGTTCCAAGCGTCTGACGCTTCGCGTTCATTCCCGGTATTGCGTGCAGGCCCTCAGATATCAGGAAAAAAACCCTGAAATTCCTGATTTTCAGGGTATTTTTTTGTACCTACCCTGATTTCTCAGTGTTCAGATTTTAGAGAGACTGATATTTCAGCCTTTTTTTCTCCAAGGGGACTGATTCTTCAGTCTTTTATCGAAGTGCACACTGAATGCACATTCCGAATCCCAGCTGTAAACATCCGAGATTACCACTTGTGGACCATTTCTTCAATAATATTGTACAAGTTTTTTACGAATTTATGAAACGACAGCTTAAACTGTCTCAGTTGTTAGTGGATTTCGCTGTCGAAGATGAAGGCCTACGGCTCGGGTCTTGCGACTGGTACGGTTAGCACGATTTTTATTTACACTAAGAAAATTGTGTGAGTAAAAATCAGGCCTTTTTCTTGGGAAACCCTGAGAATTCAGGCTTTTTTTTTAGGAACACTGATTTTCAGCCATTTTGAAATAGGAACTCTGATGCTTCAACGTCTCTAAAAGTGAATCTGAGGCCCTGATTGCGTGTTCCTTTTGCTGCGGCGAGGAGTGCTTAGTAATATCAAATATTACTATTCGTAACAGTGTGAAACGCCGCAATATATTGCTTCTTGTTCATAGGTCTTATCTACAACATGCACCTGTTATGTTCTCCCATACCATTTGTCAAACCCCGGTACTATATCCGATATGATAAGGAATGGAGGCTCGACTTCAGACTGGAGCGAAGCTGATCTTATAATGGATCAGCCGTACATCTTCGTGAAGATCATTATTGTGGAGGGGAGCACTGAAATTGTTCCACCACGACACGCGACTGACTGCTTACGTCAGTGGGCTTGAGAATGGTTTCCCTCTGAGCTCTGGTGCGAGTTTCCAATCGCGAGTGGAATCCTTTCACGTGCCACGCCCTTCCTACTGGGACCACGCGGCGCCTTTCTATCATAGTCGTCATGCCGACGGCGCTTCCCCGCTCAATCGACGTACCCGCCGCGTCCCCACCTCCGTGCCTCTGCTTCACCGCGCCTGCCGTCCAGCCCCTCTTTACTGCCGTGCATGCTCCCCCTGTTGATTACCGACCCGTCCTCGATCTCCCCCCGCGCCATTTCTCCTCGTGGTCCAAGCGCCGCCTCTCCGCGACCCCCACCGCCGCTCCAGACGTGCCGTCGCACGGCAGTCCAGTGGCGGGCGAGAGTGGCCGCAGCCCCTCATCGCACGCGAGCAACGTCGCGCGATCGCTGGCGACGAACGCGCGACGCCTGCAGAGGCAGCTCCGGCGACTGGCTGTTCGCCATGGCAGGTGACAGGACGGCGAGGGGGGACGGGGGGGAGGGGTGGGGGAAGAGGGGTGGGGGAGGGGGGAGGGGGGTGGGGGGAGGGGGGAGGGGGAAGGGGGGAGGGAAGGAGAGTGAGGGGGGGAGGGGGAGGGAGGAAGGGGAAGCGGGAAAGTGAAGAGGGGCTAGACAGGAGAGCGAGATGAGTGGAAGGGCGAGTGAAGGGAGAGGGGATGCGTAATTGCGATGGGAGAGGGAGGGCAGCAGCGCACTGCAGTGGGTGGTGCGTGCAAGGCGGTGAGATGGATTGTGGGTTGTCCGGGCCGCCCTTTGGAGTGCAATGCGTGTGCACGACTCCCACTTTCTACCGCTGTCTTCCCGCTGCATCCCCCCCGCTGCTGCGCCCATGTGCCTCCGTGCCACATCCCCCATGTCCCTCCCTCCTCTGCTCCACTGTGTGTCTCTGCGTGCATGCATGGGTGCCATGCTCAAGGCACTTGAACCTCGGTGTGGCAGTGGTGCATCTTCCCTCTGGCCAGTCCGCGAACGTGCGAGCGGGGCAGCAGTTCCCGTTGGCGAGTGTGGCTAAGCTGCCTTTGCTCTTCGCAGCAGCGCACGCCCTCCACTGCTCCTGCCCCTGCCACTCCACACACCACCCGCACACCCCTGCTGCACCCTTCGCCTCGTGCAGCAGTGGCAGCAGCAACGATTGGCCGCCATGTAAGGTCTGCACAAGCCACTCTCCCCGCCCACCACACGCACCTCCCCCTGCCTTCCCCTTCCAGCGCCCCTCGTTCCTGTCTGTCAGCCGCCACTTCCCCTTGACCCCGCTGCACTTCCCGCAGCACCACTCCCGCGCTGCACCACGCCCCTCATGCCTTGCGCCACCACCCCACCCCGTGGCCATTGGCAGTGCGGCGGCTGTCGCCAAAGAGCATGCTGCAGGTGCGCGAGGAGGACAAGTGCATTGGCAGTGGCCTCATGCGCTCCCTTCCCAGGTGCGCCCTGCTCCCCCCTCCTCCGCCCTCGCGCCCTCCTTATGGCAACTGGCCACCTGCATGCGGCGAGAGGCCACCATGCCCCATGCACGTGCTGCTGCCGCACACTGAGGCCCTGTCACCCCTGCATGCTCAGCAGCTCTCATGGCGTCACCATGCTGCCATCCGCTTCCCTCCTCAACTCAACGCACGTCGCTCACCCGCTCTCCCTAGCACCCTTCTGTGCACCCCTTTCTCATCCGCACCTTCCCCAAGCTCCCCTCCTCCAGCTGACCCTTCGGTACCCCCACCATGCGCACCACTGCATGTATGTGTATGTGTGTCTGTGTGTGTGTGGGTGGGGGGGGGGGGGTGTGCGCGCGCACGCACGTGTATGTGCATTTGTGTGTGTGCGTGTGTGGGTGTGTGTGTGTGTGTGTGTGTGTCTGTATCTGTGTGTGTGTCTGTGTGTGTGTGTGTGTCTGTGTGTGTGTGTGTGTGTGTCTGTGTGGGTGTGTGTGTCTGTGTGTGTCTGTGTGTGTCTGTGTGTGTGTGTGTGTGTGTGTGTCTCTGTGGGTGTGTGTGTGTGTGTCTGTGTGTGTGTGTGTGTGTGTGTGTGTGTGTGTGTGTGTGTGTGTGTGTGTGTGCAGTGGCATGGCAGTGGCGGTGCAGCAGTGTCTGTGGCTCATGAACTGCATCTCCGATAACACCGCTGCGGACCTTGTCAGTGCCCCCCCCCTCTCATGCCATGCCACTGCACACGCTAGTCTAGGAGAATAAGGGCTGCTCAGCATGACATTGCGGAAGGGCGGTGGGGAGACACGTGTGGATTGGGGCAACACAAGGGCATGGGTCGGGATAGGAGAAAGGAGAATGGTGAGGGTGTGTGTGATGGAAATGGGTTGCTCATTTCGGTGTGCAGGGATGGAGCGCGGTGTGGCACGCTCATACTGGCATGGTGGAGGGAGCATGGACAAGCGCAGTGGTGGTGAAGGACGAGAGTGTGCACATGAGCTACTGCTGCTTGCATCCCCTCTTGTGAAACAGCCGTGGAGGTGGAGGGCAGAGGGAGAGGCGAATGAATGTGGGCGGCGTGCAGTGATGAATGGAGGGCGATTGCCTGTTCAAGGCCCAGCGTTGAACAAGTGGCCTTGTGGTGCAGTCCAGCACACTCTCTGCCACCCCCTTTCCCACCCCACCTCTGCACTGCCGTTGGCCCTGCCCGCCACGGAGTAGGTGTTCAAGGCGGTGGGGTGGCCGTGTGTCACAGGGCTGCTGCAAGCACATGGCGCTCACAACACATCCGTGCACCTCACACAGCGACAGGTGCGTGCATGTGCGAGGGTGTATGTCATCGTACGCATGCACCATCCCTCTCATGTGCTCTCTCAGCACCAACCGTGCTCTGCCACCATGGCAACCACCTCACCCTACCCTCAGGACCGCATTCCTCTGCGCGTCGCACTCTCTCCACCACCCACTCTCTCATCTCCACCACCCACTCTCTCATCTCCACCACCCACTCTCTCATTTCCACCACCCACTCTCTCATCTCCACCACCCGCTCTCTCATTTCCACCACCCACTCTCTCATATCTACCACCCCATCTCCACCACCCACTCTCTCATTTCCACCACCCACTCTCTCATTTCCACCACCCACTCTCTCATCTCCACCACCCACTCTCTCATCTCCACCACCCACTCTCTCATCTCCACCACCCACTCTCATTTCCACCACCCACTCTCTCATCTCCACCACCCACTCTCTCATTTCCACCACCCACTCTCTCATCTCCACCACCCGCTCTCTCATTTCCACCACCCACTCTCTCATATCCACCACCCACTCTCTCATCTCCACCTCCCACTCTCTCATTTCCACCACCCACTCTCTCATTTCCACCACCCACTCTCTCATCACCACCACCCACTCTCTCATCTCCACCACCCACTCTCTCATCTCCACCACCCACTCTCTCATTTCCACCACCCACTCTCTCATCTCCACCACCCACTCTCTCATTTCCACCACCCACTCTCTCATCTCCACCACCCACTCTCTCATTTCCACCACCCACTCTCTCCTCTCCACCACCCACTCGCACCTATCCAAGTTGTATGTTCAGCCGCACTGCGGCCTCCCACTCACCTGCACCTCCATATTCCCCCCACTCCTTGCACTCACATTCTTCTGCATATGTCGCGCAACCTCGCCCCGTGCCCTCACCGCACGGAGCAGGCGTTTCTGTTGGCGCTGGGCTTCTCATCGGAGCTGAAGGAGCCGTACGGCACGCCCAGGGCGCGCAGGTGCTGCACGCTCGTGCCCTCCTGCCCTGCTTCTCCTTACTACCTCATCACAGCACTCGCACCACTATCTTCCCCGCTTGCCTTCCAAGTATTGTGCATTCTTATTGTATTCCACTTTCTGCCGCCTGGTCCCCTCATGACGTGCCTTCATTCCTTTCTTTTCTCCCTAGACACGTACCCCTTTTTGTGAGAGCCACTGTGCCGTGACTGGGAGAGCAATCAGGGATTGAGTTTCTTAGTTCCCCCTCTCCCATCTCCTCATTCCCTTGCTCGCAATAACTCCCCTGGTCACACTTCCTTTTCACCACCTTTCCCTCTCCTAATCTTTGCCGCCCTCATCTCGGCTCTCCCCTCGTGCCTGTCTCTCCCCGCTCACCCTGGCCCGGCAGGTGGCAGGGGATGTCAGTGGCGCAGCAGAGGCAGATGGCGGAGCGCGTGGAGGGGGAGAGCCGGGCAGTGAGCGTGAGGGACCTGAGCGCTGTGGAGGAGGCCTCGCTGCTGCTGCAGCGCGTACACCATGGGGCATGGGGCATGGGGCATGGGGGACGGGGCATGGGGCATGGGGCATGGGGCATGGGGCATGGGGCATGGGGCATGAGGCATGGGGCATGGGGGACGGGGCATGGGGCATGGGGCATGGGGGACGGGGCATGGGGCATGGGGCATGGGGCATGGGGCATGGGGCATGGGGCATGAGGCATGGGGCATGGGGGACGGGGCATGGGGCATGGGGCATGGGGCATGGGGGACGGGGCATGGGGCATGGGGCATGGGGCATGGGGCATGGGGCATGGGGGACGGGGCATGGGGCATGGGGCATGGGGCATGGAGCATGGGGGACGGGGCATGGGGCATGGGGCATGGGGCATGGGGCATGGGGGACGGGGCATGGGGCATGGGGCATGGGGGACAGGGCATGGGGCATGGGGCATGGGGCATGGGGGACGGGGCATGGGGCATGGGGCACGGGGCATGGGGGACGGGGCATGGGGCATGGGGCATGGGGCATGGGGGACGGGGCATGGGGCATGGGGGACGGGGCATGGGGCATGGGGCATGGGGCATGGGGGACGGGGCATGGGGCACGGGGCATGGGGGACAGGGCATGGGGCATGGGGCACGGGGCATGGGGGACGGGGCATGGGGCATGGGGGACGGGGCACGGGGCATGGGGCATGGGGCATGGGGCACGGGGCATGGGGGATGGGGGATGGGGCATGGGGCATGGGGCATGGGGCATGGGGCACGGGGCATGGGGGATGGGGCATGGGGCACGGGGCATGGGGCATGGGGAATGGGGGGGTGCAGCAAGGGGATGGGGACAGGGATGGAGGATAGGGCACTGGAGATTGAGAATGGGCTTTTTGAGAAGACACGAGGTGTGGTGAGACAAGACTATAGGGATGAATGGATGTCTCAGCGGTGTGAGGCAGGGCTAAGTTCCCTCGATGTTGTCCTCACCATGTTAGCTAATGTTTTGTGCCTTGTGTGGTCTCTCTTCACACCTCGTTTCTTTCACTCCATCTCCAGTAATCTTTTCTTTGCTTCCATGCACATCTCATGGCATGCCCACATGCTCTCCCCCAGGCACAAGGCGACAAGGGCTACCGCAATGACAGCCACAGTGAGTGCTGTGCCCCCATCCCTTGTTCATCCACCACTGTTTCTTCAACTGCAATCCACCACGCCTTACCACGCATGCCTCACTGTCCGCCTCTCAGTTTTGCTGCTTTTGGCTCTTGAGAATTCCACGACTCACCCCTCTGGTCGCAGCTGCAATGTGCCGTTCCTCCCATGCCACCTTCACCTCATCTCCATTGCCTGCCCTCTCTGCCTGCGAGTCATATTACTGAAACCAGTTTCCCTTGCCTCCCCTCTTAATGCTCTTCCTCCCTCATTTCCTTTCACCTTCTCCCCCCATGCCCCGGCCACCAGTCGCAGCAGCCATGGACAACCGGGGGTCGCCAGCGGACATGGCAGGGCTGCTGTGCAAGCTCACCACGGCGCGCCTGCTGCCATGGCCGCGTGCCACTGCACTGTGCCTGCACACCATGGCCATGCAGGTGCCACCTCCACTCTTACCCTGCACCCACATGCGATGCGCGATGTGTCTCCTTGCTGCCCCTGCTTCTGTCACCTTGTCTCTGTTCCCATCAGTTCGTTCCTCCCTTGCACCTTCTACAGAACCCCATCCCCGCCTTCACTTCACACGTCCCTACCTTCCTCTCTGGATTCAACTCTCCCTCCTGCCCTCGTTATCTCCTGTACTGTCCTTCTCTTCCTCTCTCCTTCCTCCTGCACCCTCGCTGCTCGTCTTGCAGGTGTATGGGCAGCGGCGCCTGCCCTACTACTTGCCCCCCGCCTTGACAGTGCTGCACAAGACAGGGAGGTCAGTGGGGGCCAGGATTCAAGCACATGCGCACAAGCCCCGCCACGCTACTCCCTCACGTGCTTCCTTAGCCGCTGGAATACCCATCATTCATGTCTTTTCCAGCTTTGTTTTCTTTGATTAGCAAAATCTTGATGAGTCATTCATGCCTTGTTGTGTTGCTCTTATTCCATCACATTAGTTCCTTCGATGCCTTCCTCATACTAGTCCTCTCCTCACTTCTCTCTCTCCCTAACAGCATACTCGGCACTGTGAACGCAGCAGGGATCATCCCATTGCCGCGCCCACCGCCCGCCCTGCACTCCCAGCACATGCGCCGCCATCTCACCCGCCTGCCCTTGCTGCCCGCCGTGCAAGCCTCTCCTCGCCCCTCCTCTCCTGTGACCACACTGTTCTCCCTGCCACGGTCCTCCGCACACCTGCCGGGATATGAGCACGCGGAGCGAGGGGTGGGTGCGGAGTCACTGCAAGTGAGTGAGGGGGGGGCAGTGGTGGTGGCAGCGTTTGTGGACAAGGTGTGGCGGCAGCATGAGAGGGAGGCAGAGTATGTGATTGCACGGGCTAGTAAGCTCGCATATGACACATGGGGAGAAAGGCGACGGCTACGCCGCATGCTGAGCGCAAGGGAGAGGAGGCGATGGATGGTAGGGCAGTGATGCTTCTTTCAAGTGATCGGAAACTGGTTTCTCTGTTCTAAGCTTGTACGTGATTGAAACAGTGTACGGTATCAGCTAGCAAGGTTGCTCCCAAGTTGTTGACCATGCGAGCCGCAGCAATTGTATCCGTACATGCATGTGTATGAGAGCGCGCGCATGTGTCGCGCACCAGCTAAATCCACTAATCCCCAAATTGAGGAAGCTTGCTTTCTGTTTTTGCAAAGGCAACGGGCTTCATTACAATTGGGTCTTCTGAGACATGTGTAGTTGGGGCGTTGAAGACGTGGTGGGTGTAATTGCGGTTGATGGCCGTGACAAAGTGCCGAGAGAGTCGGCGTTGGTGATTGTGATCTCCATGTTCATGATGTTCGGAGTGCTGTATGTGCGAAGGTTGCTCGCTCCCTTGATGTGGATGTCCCTGATTGTTGATGCCGCTAGATGGTGGTTGAAACAGGTGGTTTCCAATCCAAGTTCTATACGGCCAATGTACTCTACCACCGTACTCATATGCTGTGCTCTACTCTACACTTTCAACCGTTTGGTGTTCTGGACTAACTACAACGTGGATGTGTGAGTTTGAGTTGGTAGTAAGGGAGGATCTCCGTCATGATGGTGGGACAAGAACATATTTTTTCTTTGGCACGCATCCGTTTTAGCTCCCAGAGACATACTCACGTTCTTGACGAGATGCGAGCTTGCGATAGCAAGCGGTTGCCTCACACACATGCTATTATCTCCCCCTTTCCTCTCGAGTGTGAGATCAAACAAAGTTGGATGTGCATGATGGCAAAAACTGGTCCCTTCCGCATAGCCCTTCTTTGGGGGAAACACTGGATGATATGAACAACCATAGCTATGTCAGATTCAAAATCCATATTTAGTCGCATTCAAAACAGTGATTCTCTGAGTTTTGTTGGGGCTTCAGACCAGCCTTAATTGGTTAAGAAATGCTTGAATATATTATCATATGGCCCACATACATCAATGGTCAAGCATGGGCTGCCCAAATAACCGCACACGATGGTTGAAATTTAGCCCGTGTTACGTTAGGCTGACCTGGGGACTTTCAAGTGTAGGGTCCCTTCCCTTGTCCCACTTGGAGGATGGCCCTCTGGCCACATGGGGACCCTCGGTCCCCTTCCCCCCTTGGGGACGGTTCTCGGGCCACACGGGGACCCTTGGTCCCCGTCCCCTCCGGGGGACGGTTCTCGGGCCACAGGGGGACCCTTGATCCCCTTCCCCTCCTGGGAGATGGCTCTCAGGCCACACGGGGACCGTCAGTCCCCTCCCCCCCTGGGGACAGCTCCTAGGCCACATGGGGACCCTCGGTCCCCTTCCCCACCTGGGGGACGGTTCTCATGCCACACGGGGACTTTCGGTCCCCTTCCCCCCCTGGGGGACGGCTCTCAGGCCACACGCCCTTCCCCCCCTGGGGGACGGCTCTCAGGCCACACGCCTTCCCCCCCTGGGGGACGGCTCTCAGGCCACACGCCCTTCCCCCCCTGGGGGACGGCTCTCAGGCCACACGCCCTTCCCCCCCTGGGGGACGGCTCTCAGGCCACACGCCCTTCCCCCCCTGGGGGACGGCTCTCAGGCCACACGCCCTTTCCCCCCTGGGGGACGGCTCTCAGGCCACACGCCCTCCCCCCCCTGGGGGACGGCTCTCAGGCCACACGCCCTTCCCCCCCTGGGGGACGGCTCTCAGGCCCCACGCCCTTCCCCCCCCTGGGGGACGGCTCTCAGGCCAACGTCGAGACTCTCGGTTCCCCTTTTTCAGTGGGAGACGTCATTTGGTGCGCGCGTAGTTGATGCTGTCGACGTTGCAGTTTTCCCACGCGACGGGTGCAGTGTTACTTAGATGAACTTCTTTCCCCAATTGTCGCCCATGTTTCTGCCACCAAAAGGTTGACCGCGAGTTGGTATTATTAGACATTAGAAGGAAATTATAGAATGAAAGATAAGTGAATTTGAAGAAGACTTGCAGCAATTAAAGCAACTGAGCGAATTGGTGAGGTGACCAGGGGTGCAACATGGGAGGGAGTATACTCCCAGTCAAATGCCTTAGGCGCGCCAGTGGCTATTTCTTCACTATCGCGCCAGTGGCCATTCTGTCCCAGGTGCGCTAGTGGTGATGTCGCCACTAGCGCAAGTGGCGATTTCGCCACTCGCTCAAGTGGCGATTCTGCCTCAGACGCATGTGTGCCGATTCCGTCACTTGCGTGTGCCACTGGCGCAAGTGACGATTCGTCACTGGCCCGCGCCACTGGCGATTTCGTCACGAGCGCGCCAGTGGCCGTTTCGTCCCGCGCACTCCACTCTCGGTTGTGCGCACGCCATTGCATGGGGAAGCGTGATACTATAGTGAACGTGCGTAGCAGAAATAACTGTTGAACAAGAATGAATGAACTAACAGTGAAATGAGTACAAGTATGAAAACCTAGAAATGTGTACCCCCTATAGGCTAACCCACTGTAGCCTAAACAACTACAACAACATATATAATGTTTGACACACCCCCATAGGCGAAGTGGGGGAGAACCAGGGGTCACAAGACCAGTCAAGTAAAGCAAAGCAAAGCAAAGCAAGCTCAGGGTGGATCACAACGTCACCACACAATCCGAGCACAAGTTCAAGGCCACAAGGCCAGTTCACATGCAGGAGTACATATATATATAGGACTAAACAAGCAAGAGCAGTAATATATATATGTAACAGTACAAAGAGGGTCAAGAGGAGAGCAAGTGAGGCAAGACAGACACAAGACCCAGCTGGGTACAGCAGCGCTGATGATCACAAGGCGGAAGTGCCTTGGTGAAGACATCAGCAGTGTTGGCCTCAGAGGCCACGTACGCAAGTCGCAACTGACCACGCTGCTGTAGCTCACGAGCAAGGAAGTAGCGAAGAGCAATGTGCTTTGTTCTGTGCTCCAGTCTCTGCTCTCAACACAAGGCCAGCATGGCCTTGTTGTCGACGTACAGGACTGGAGGAGAACGAGGCGGCTCTCCTGTCAACGGGAGTTGGGTATTGGCCCCGTCCTCGCTTGGGCGGAGCCGACTTCGTGGTCGGGTGTGAGGGGAGCAGCCGACCTGCAGCAGTGGGTGAGCTGGTCGACGAGGAGGTCGACCTGCACGGGGGACCACTGCACGGGCGCCGACTTCAGGGTGGCGCCGACTTCAGGGAGGTCGACTTGGGAGTCGACCTGAAGAGGACGTTGAAGCCGACTTCGGCAATCGGCTAACGGACTGCTAGTCGACCTGTTAGTGGTCGACTGGACCTGGTGGTCGACGAAGGAGGGGCCGACGTCGACCTCGACTCAGGACGCTGAGCAGTTGGGTGTCGAATAGCTGGGCGTCAACTTTGTGACGCCAGCTTCGGGTGGCCGACGTGGGTGGTCGGCCGACGACTGTGCTGGTCGACGTGGAGCTGGTCGACCAGAGGGGATGTCGACCTGGAGGAGGTCGACCGATGGTGTCGTCAACCTAGTGAGGTCAACGTGGAGGTGGTCGTCGACTTGGGAGGTCGACGGGCACGTACGGGAGCTGCTGGTCGACGTGGTAGCCTGGTCGACCAGGTTACCTGGGTGACGAAGTGCTGCGAAGGAGTGCGACGGTCGCCCAGGCGAAGTTGGCGAGCACGACCTCAGTGGTGGTATCCCGAGGTCGTCGTGGCGGGCCAGAGGCAGTCGTCAGCTCAAGGTTGACGTGGAGTGTGCGCTGTGCAGGTGACGGGACTCTGCACGCCAATCGGCTACGCACACCTGCGAAGCGGGTGCACTGCTGTCCTGCGTGAGCAACGCTGGCACGCCGTCGACCTTGCCTTGCTGGAGTTCGGTCGACCAAGCCGTGCTGGAACGCGGTCGACCAAGCTGCGCTGGCAGTTGGCCGACCTGAATGCTAGCCCTGATGTAGTCTTGCATTGCCAACTTCATTGTACCATTGTTCTGAACTTTTCCTAGTGAAACTCTTGCCAATTTTCCCCGTGAACTAGCAAGTAGTGTGTGCACAAGGAAAACGACTAAGGAACAGAGAACGCAGAGATCACACGAGCACACGTGCCTAGCCCGTAGCCTAGCTCCCGTTGCTGCAGTTATCTCCGCATCTCCAAGGTGCAGGTAGGTGAGCCAGCGAAGCTCCTGAGCAGCCATGGCCCCTGCGTAGATCTCAGCCTCACAACTGGAGCCGAGAACAGAAGACGAGCGAGTAGCCCGCCACGAAACAGAGCCGGAACCAAGGCTGAAGGTGTAACCCTCTGACGACCGCTGCGTAGCCTGGTCGTCAGCCCAAGAAGCGTCTGCGTGTCCAGTGAGGACCACTGGACTCCGCCCTCCAAGCACTAGCCCCATGCCCGACGTACTGCACAAGTAGCGCAAAACCCTCTTCGCTGCAGCCATCTGCTCTGGTTGGTGTCTCTCAGGAGCAACATAGCGTGCAAGAATGCTAAGAGGGTATGCAAGGTCAGGTCGTGTGCAGGTCATCAGGTACATGAGACAGCCAACAAGCTCTGGGTACGGGCCACTCGACTCTACGGACTCATCCGAAGGCAGAGCTGAGAGCGAGTGGCGAGTAGACAGAGGAGTGGCCTGAGGCGAGGAGTACGTGAAGCCAAAGCGCTGAAGGACCTGCTGCACCATGTGTGACTGAGTCAGGGTAATGGTGCGGCGTGCTCCGTCCCGGGTGATCTGCAAGCCAAGGTAGCTGCGCAGTTCACCCAGGTCAGTGCACGTGTGTCTCTTCTGCAGCTCGGACTTCACGTAGGCGAGTCCAGCATTGTCAGCTGTGGCAAAGACCAAGTCGTCGACGTACACGAGGATGTAGAACGGCGGCAGAGAGGTGTCGGTGCGCAGAAACAGCGACGGGTCGGCAGTAGAAGGAGCAAACCCAAGAGCCGCAAGCGTAGTCCTCAGTGTGTCGTGCCACTCACGGGGCGCCTGGCGGAGACCGTAGACTGGACGCCGGAGACTCCACTAGGTACCAGGAGGGAAAGACCCAGTGAAGCCAGGTGGGCGGCGCAGCCAGATCTCCTCGTGCAGGCTGCCCTGCAAGAAAGCTGTGTTGAAGTCGAGAGAGTGCAGCTCGCAGTCCCAGTGAGCAGCAACGTGTAGCAGTACCCGAAGAGTGGTCATCTTCGGGGTGGGGGAGAAGGTCTGAAAGTAGTCAACTCCCTGCCGCTGACTGAAGCCACGAGCCACGTAACGCGCCTTGAAGACAGGCGGAGAACCCGGCGGCCGCTTCACCCTGAAGATCCACATGCCATTGACGATGTTCGCCCCAAGAGGGGGGACAGCGTCAACGTAGGTGCCTGTGGACTTCCAGGAAGCCATCTCTGCATCCATAGCTGCCTGCCACTGAGAGGAGTAGGGACCCTCTATCGCCTCCGCGTAAGAGCGCGGAGTCGGGATGTCAAGTGCATCCGGGTCTCCCTCAGGGGTAAGCAGTACGGACACGAGATGAGGTGAAGCAGCTGCCAGACACTGGAACTCCTCCTGCCTGTCCTCAAGGACGTCTGTGCCAAGGGCACACTCACCCCCGACGGACGGAGGACAGACAGACTCAGACTCAGTGACAAGACTAGCAGCGTAGTCTAGGCGACAGCGAGCAGCAAAGTCGACGAGCTCAGCAGCAAAGTCGACGAGCTCAGCAACAAGGGCAGACGCAGCAGAAGACTCGAAAGAAGGGTCAGTGACGGCAGTAGCATAGAGACGCGTGACAGTAGGACTGGCAGCACGAAGAGAGTCCGACTCCGGGTCGGCAAGAGCAGGAAGAGAGGAGTCAGGAGGAGAAGGCAAAGGGGCACGCAGAGGAGCAGTAGACGGACGTAGAGAAATCCGGTGCGTGCCAAGGGCAGGAGGAGGACGCTGGCGCGAACTACGAGCACTAGCGCTAGCAGGACTGACAGGCGACACAGGACGCGACGCAGACTCACGACGCTCAGTAAGACCGCCAGTAGGACCAGTGTAAGGAGAAGGAGCAGGTAGTGGGGAGGCCGGCTGCAACTGTAACTGTGACGGGACAGGCTGTGAACACGCTAAGGGAGGAGGACCAGGAGGAGGCGAGAGACCAAGAACCTGCTGAAGGAGGGGAACGAAGTACGGCTGAGGGCGCGCGGCGACTCCAGACACAGCAGGGACAGCACCAGTACCCCCAGCGGCAGTACCAGAACCAGCAGCAGCTCCAACGCCCAGGTCCTCAGTACCAGCCTCAGCACCAACGCCCGAGTCCTCAGCACCAGCAGGGACTCCAACACCAGGGTCCACAGCACCAGCCGCAGCTCCAACGCCCGGGTCCTCAGCACCAGTAGCACCTCCAACTCCCGGGTCCGCAGCACCAGCAGCAGCTCCAACTCCAGGGTCCGCAGCACCAGCCGCAGCTGCAACGCCCGGGTCCTCAGTACCAGCAGCACCTCCAACTCTCGGGTCCGCAGCACCAGCAGCAGCTCCAACGCCAGGGTCCGCAGCACCAGCAGCAGCTCCAACGCCCGGGTCCGTAGCACCAGCAGCAGCCGGGTCCGTGAGACGAGGCGCACCACTCCGAAGTGTGCAACGGCGCTCGTCCCACTCACGGATCCGCTCACGAGAGGGGAGCTCCCGACTAGGAGGAGAAGTACCAGCACCAGTCCCTGTAGTGCGCCTGGTCCCAGAGGTACCTCTCCGGAGGCTGCAGTACTGTAAGTACCACTCACGCAACTGCTCCGAGGAGAGGTCTCATCCAGGTGAAGTACCCTCAGGCCCAACACCGCCAGAGTCAGAACCCCCAGACCCAGCACCCCCAGGCTCAGCACCCCCAGTCACCGCACCCCCAGGCTCAGCACCC